TCTGTGAGACTGGGGTTGCATGTCTGAAATTTGTATTACTGTCTTAAAATCATCCCTCCGAAATACTCACCCCTGCAAACGGGAGCTGTGCGTGCGTGGCCGCGGTATCCAGGAGACTGGCAGCGCTCGCTGTCATTATCCCGAGCAGTTGCCATGCGGCTCTCCTGGCAAATATGGCAAAGAATCACGGATTGGGACTCGCTGCAGGTGGAGCATCGCGGGGTTAGCGGAGCACATGTGGGAGGGCACCATGAAGACCCCAGGCCCGGCCCTTTGGAAAGGGAAATAATTGTTGCCGTATCCATAGTCTGTGTTTTTGCTGCCTGGTCCATTACAGAGGAGCAATTCCCAGGAAGATGCTGTTTGAAGCTAAAGCTCCTCGGCGGCTCCGGCTGCTGTGGTTGGGGGCACACTGGGCTGGGAGGGCTCGCGCTGCCCCCCGGCGTGCAGGGGCAGCAGCGGCGGTTTTGCCGTCCCTCGAGTACTGCAGCTCTGCTCGCTGAGTGCCCGGGAAATCCGGACACCCCGTGTTGTCCTGGGCGAGCGCTCGCGGAGCTCGGCGCGCTCCTCGGCGCGACGCGTGCGAGAGCAACGCGGCTGCCCTCGTCCTCCGTGCCGATAACCTTCCGTTCGGGAGCGGGCGATGCGATTAGCCCGAGTTTATCTACTCGCGTTATTGCTGATTAGAAAATTACCCGCAGCTCTTAAAGGCTGCCTGTGATGTGGGGCCAGGTGGATCCTGGTGTTTGAGGGTGACAAATGGGATTATAGCGGAGGGGGATCTCCTCGGGGGTCGGCGTGGCACCCACGGGAGGGGAGCAGCGACACGGGCGCTCTTTGGTGTGGAGCCGTGCGCGTTTCTCTGGGAGACTCTCGTCCCACTTGGAAACAACAGGATTATACCTGTAAAGATAATATGGACCTTTAATACCCATGTCTGCCCAGAGGTGTTCTGCATCCCTAAAATACCTGCTGAAGGGAAGCCGTGGGCTCTGAGCCATGTTTCAGTGCGAGCTGCGTGGACATGGTTCCCAAAGGACGCGTTCCCGTCCTTGGCACTGCGGCTGCCGGAGCTGGGGAGACCCCTCCAGACCCGCGGCAGGAGCAGCAGCGAGGCCGGGGGAGCCGC